ATCTTTTACAAAAATGAAAATTAGCTAGCCTATTCACGCATCTATTTTAAAGCAAATACTTGAAAAAAAATACCAAAAAAATATTTATCGTGTAATGTCAGATTTTCATTCTGCTCCAAAACTCAACTGTTTTTCTTTTAATCTTTCAATTTGAAACCTTTTCAGTTGAAATCACTTACGAGAAAGTATGTTTACAACACTCATTTTCGACGTTTTTCATGTAAATCTTTTTATTATCGTTCGAAGTCTTGTTTTCTTTGATTTAAACTGTTTTCTATGGCTCTGATATTACATTTTATTGCATCAAGCAGATTTTCATTTCATGGTTAAATTTCACAGTAAAAAACAACTAACTCATGAAAACTTTCCTAATGAATAGTTACCCATGTTGCGAATACCGGATCATTTTTTGCGGTAAACCGCGGTATTTATCCGTTCTGCGGTAATGGGAGCCGGTAACCGGACTGGTAAAACCGCGGTTAACCACCGATTTTCATGCGGTTTTTATTACATGGGTAGATCACCCTATCGGGTGAAATGATTGTTATTTAGTTTTATAAGAAAATTAATCAATATTGCAGTGTATATCGAAAAACAAGTTATTGCAAAAAATAGTTTACTAGATTTTTATTAAAAATATTCACTTAGTTTCAGTAGAAACCTTCATAGTGAACGAATTCGAAAAGTCCTAATGGATTTTGTTGGGGGCTTCCATGCAGCTCCGTCCAATTTTACATCGACTTTCTGCCGGCAAGTTTTAAGTATGCTAGCCTTGTAGTCCTTGTCGGGTTGTATACGAATTGATATTCTGTTTGGACTCAAGTGATGCACTAATTGTAAACGGGTCTACCTGAGAAGTCGGTGTTCGTGCAAGATGGACTAGAGAAACCGCCTGTTGCATTTTTATTGAGCGTTTTTGAAACCTTTCAATTCAATCACTGGATAGATCATAAAAAGTTGTCTCTCTAGAATAATTATCACCAGGATATCTCTAAAGCTGATTGCTGCCGAGAATTTGTAAATTTTCGATATAACGCTTTTTTTTGGAAAGATATGGCCCTTATAAAACCTACATATTCAATCAGAGATCAAAATGTACTATACTCAAAATGCAGCTTATAGTGTGTTCATTCAAACTAAATATGCCAAATCTCTTCGAAATGTTATACGGTCTGGATATGTAGATTTAAAAAGATGGATATTTTGAAAATCGGCCTATTGAGCCTCGAATATCTCGAAATCTAAACGTCAGAGTTTGATCAAATTTTTTTTAAATAGATGTCAATGAATACTACTACTGATAAAAATATCAGCCTTCGCCTCTGAGGAACGTAGGATATCTTCGAGCTGGACTCGCCTTCAGGTTATACCATAGCGTAAAAAGGCTATACCAACATAGATCTCAACGAGTTCTATCGATTTCACTAATTAATTTTTGCTCAGGACCCTCCCATCAAGAAGAAAAACCTGAAATACTAGCAAAAAATCCAGTGTTCTTCGTAAAACTTGTCGCGATTCGCTCATAGGTTAGACCAAACGATGAAACTTTATCTGGAGATAGAGCTGGGCACGCTCTATCGAATGGTCATCATTCCGACCGGATTCCATTATCGGATCCGCAAAAACCCAACTGAGCAAGATCCCGAATCGGATTTTCTCGGTAACTCGCACCGGGATTCGCCTATAAATCATACCAAAAGATAAAAATGGTATACCAAGATAGAACTCGTCGAGCTCTATCAAATAGACATCTTTTCAGCTCAATTCCATGCTAGAATCCCCTCCGAATGGGCAAATCCAGATCTTAATCCAAGATTCCTTAGAAAATGTATTGCTTGTCTATTTTCCCTCTACTGAAAGGAGGGTATTACGAAAAACGAGTTCAATGCGTTCGTTCGTTCGTTCACTAGGAAATCAGATGCATAAATTTAGCTATCCTCAAACAATATCCTGTAGGGATAGGTTCGACTGAAGGTGATTGGGGTTGGAGAACGCGATGGCGTTGTTGGTTTCTTGAAATTTTGTTTTTTGCTGCTTTTAGGAAAGAGACTTTTTTTCCAAAAAATTCGTTTTTACAGTTTCAGGAACGCTTGCATTACCCAGGACAATAATTCCTGAAGCAGTATTCCGTGAATTTCCGGCGAAAACCTGCAAGAAACTCGCTGTTTCCGACCGGAACCCACCGGGAATTGTCCAGAATTCGACACAGGAATCCGGAAATCGTATCCGGCTACCAGTTTTGACAGGTTCCTGCCGATTCCGATCCGACCCGAATAAATCCGGCGACCGGATCCTTTCGCCGGAATACTGCTTCCATGAAATCTCCAGAATACCACAGAACCGGCCGTTTCCGGGACCGGAATGCTCGACCTGGGTAATGTATATGTTGAATAATTACATACGTTGTCTATGTATGCATCTTATTGAGAGGAATTCACGTATGCTAGGAAACTATGGTATCATATACTATGACATGTTAGTATGTAGCCTGAGGTATTGGTACGATGGTATGTTTCTGACTGGATTTAAGATGTATAAGTTATGCAGTTCTGATTTCAAGAAGTAAATCACACAACTTTTATTAAATACTAGTAGAATAGGATATGCACTTAAAGACAAGTCGAACATGCAGTGCATAATAAATATTTTGTAGCTGTATTTTGTTTCATTCGCGAGTTAGTGGATGTTTGTTTTAATATCCACGACGGAGGATAAAATAAAAGGAGGGGAAAACACGGATACGTGGATCAGTGCGCAATTATTTTTAGATGTATCATTTAATTGAACGTATTGGTGAGGTGAGTCACTATAGTTGATTTATTAATTCGACACTCTTGGTTTTAATACATGGATTCAAAAGATGATTGTGTTTGTTGTGATAAGCGTTTGAGTAGAGATGGTAAGCGCCCGGTTAATATCAAGTCACTCATTATTTTCGTGAGTGCTCGTTTTTTTCCTGAGAAAATGCCTAATGATTGTTTCATCTGCAACACATGTCATTGGATGTACAACAAGTGGGAGGCAAATTTAGGTTTAAACCAAATATTATTGCAAATTGATATGTTGAGTCAAGATGATGATGGAATGACTGAAGAAAAGGATGAAAGTTCAAATGAAAATACTTCAGGTGATGTAGGGACTGACTCTAATGATAACAGTGTAAGAGGCTTGGATATGTTGTCATACACCCACCAAGGAGTTTTTAAATTTTTTGGGACGATGAAATGATCAATGATGAAGAATCTGACGAAAATAGCTCGAATGATTCAACAGCTAAGTCAAATCATAAATATGTGAGATTGCAATAAATATTACTGTATATATAAGATACCTTTTTCAATTTGGTAGGATAATGAAATGATTGATGATGAAGAGTCTAATGGAAGTAACCCAAATGATTCAGAGATGGATTGTAATGACGTATATGTAAGAAGATCGATATTTCTGTGCTTTAAATATGAACTCTCCTCGCTACCATAGGATAATGCATCGGTTACTGATAAAGCAAGTTTTACTTCGAAAGATGGTTTGAAATTACCTAATGGTATAAGCATTTCGTCAAAAAGGTAAAAAAACAATTTCATGGTTGACTTCATGCAATCCTATGTTCTAGCCAATGTTGTGTGTCTAGAATTAAATTGGTTCCACCAACAGTCACTATTAAAAAGGAAGATCGAAGCAATATCTTTATTCGTCGAAATATGTTTTTCCCGAAAGGGTCACGCTGCTGTAAAATTCATACTTCAAATGGATATTTATTACTTGAAGACTTCTTCAAATTGACTGCTTACAAAGATGATTATAGAATATTCAATCTTAATTAAGGTGCGCGTAATTCAAACTTACAGCACTTCTTATTTTTTTGCTTAAATATATATCAATAGATTCGGTGTTTCAAGCTGATCACGAATATCTACTTACTTTTTCGATTCGAGAAAATCTTCATGGAGAAAACGGCAAAAATCTGAGAGGGTGTAAAAATCAGCAAAAAAATTTCTTTTTGGGAAACAGCGTTTATTTTGCTTCTGTTCCACTTGTTTCTCACCAATTTGACTTTTTAATTCCTCGTAGAAAGATGCGTCTTGATAAGTTATTTAGAGCTTTATCGAATGCTACATATTGAATCTGAAAAAACAAGCGTTCAATATCACTTTGCTTTGTACCAGTTCATTTTGTAAATCTATCTAGTTTTTTTCTTTGAGAGATACAGCTTTTATTCATACACCATTCGAAGCGCCATTCGACGAGCTACAAAAATATGCCTCGATTTTTTTAATATCGTTTTCCAATGTTGAGAAAATGTGTCTACAATGGTAGTATGAGAAAAATCGATCTGGTGATTTTTCAATAAAAAAAAAATTTCTCATTCAAAACTCGTAGAAATACCGTTGAATAGGTAAAAAAACGATTTAGAATTCGATGGAAATGGTTTCAGTGCTTCTGGGGTGTAGTGAGTCGGCTTTTGAAACTTCATCGAGAAAAATTGCGAAGCGAAAGTAAGAATTTTCAGACTTTCATTTTACAATATGTGAGATGAATTGTTGCCTGGCACCATCAGGTGTGCATGCTAAAGGGTGGGTGATCTGTGTATCAATAGACGGCGTTTTACGTAACATAGATGGAAACTATTTTTCAAATTATGATCAAAGTGCTATTGAAACTTATCTAATAGTCAAATCACTCACTGAAGCAATTCATAATGCCAAAACTGACTAGACAAAAAAGTCATACACGTCAATTGAAGTATAGAAGATCCATAGAAAGTATTAAATCCAATGATACTGAAACATTTTCAAGTGAAGACGAAAAAGTCCTATTTCATCCAGGTGGAGATATTGATGATATTAATTTTTCGAATGGATCTGTATTAAATGATATCAGTGATCTTTTCACGTTTTGTAAAGAACAAATTAACCCTCGTTTCATCAGCGTACTTATATATAGGTCTTTACGGCATCTTGGTCATACATAGAGAGACGGGGACTCTTTTTTAACATCAATTGGTGGTACTACTAAAAAAACGTGTCACAAATGGGCCAATATTTTAGTGAACAAAGATTTTGATGAATTCACAATTGATGAGAGAGGTGGGAAAAGAGGTGATTCGCTTTGGGATTGCTATCCAGATTTAGAATTAGGAGCAAAGCAATTTGTTTATCAAGAATGTTCGAAAACAGAAGCAACATTTACCGTCGAAACGTTGGCAAGATTTATTGACCAACGTTTTTATGAATTAAATAATCTGAAGAAAACCGATCAACAATTAGTAAGATCAGTTGAAAGTTGTAGATTAGACTTACGTCGATTTGGTGTAAAATTCACAGCAAATTCAAGCCGACCTTACTTTCTTGGACATGAACGAGAAGATGTGGTAAAAAATCAACAAGAATTTGTCAAATACTTTATTGAGCGTGAGCGACATTTTTATACAATTACAAATGATGCTGTGCCACAGTGGAGAATACCAACAACAGCACCAACAATTTTGCTTTGTAAGTGCTTCTTTGTTTTCTTTATTTCAAAACTCGTCTATATGTTCACTGTTGCTTTCCTCTGTTGTAGGCCATGATGAAAGTACATAAAAATGTGGAGAAATTACAGCTAAACGATGGATTATGCCTGATAATGCGCCATTTTACAACAAAGGCAGAGGAAGAAGCATAATGTGTTCGGATTTATTAGTAATGCATCCAAGTGGACCATTCTTTTCGTTGACCGAAAAAGAGTATTCAGAAGCCTTGAAAACATATCCGAATTAAAATGATGATTGTGATATAAATTATGAAAAGAATAGTGCTTCTGCTTCAGTCGCCCTTGGTGGCGATAATTATTTTAATAATCAAAGTATTCTGAAGCAATTTAAACGTCTATTTCAATTATTACCATTCAAAAAAGAATATAAAAATCATAACTTCTTATGCCTCGTCGATAATTCAAGAACTCACACAGCAGCTGAAATCCATCTGAATGATTTCGGAATGAGGCCCGGAACCTGGTGTCCTGTTGATAAGATCGAATATATTGATGAAAACAATAAAAAAAAACTATCGAAAGCTATGATGCTGATGGATACAGTAAAGGTTTACTGGCTATAGCAAATGTCAACTCAATGATTTAAAATTACTGCTATCGCAATATGCAGCTTTTAAAAGCGTGAGTAGAAATTTATTTTCTTATTTAATATAATAATTGATTCGCATCTTTGTCTCCTCTTTTTCAATTGTAGGTCAGCAAACTTGAAAAATTCGCGGCTGAATATAATATCAAAATAATTTTTACACCGAAGTACCATTGCGAAACTAATCCCATTGAAGGATATTAGTGTCACTCAAAACAGTATATAAGAAAACATACAGATCAAAGTTTTCAAAAATTAACAACTTTAATGCCTGAAACAAAAGAAAATCTCATTCAAAAGCAGGTTCACCTCAAACGTTTTCGTCGATTTTGGAGAACTATCAAAGCATACGATCAAGGGAAAGATTATCTTGAAGTACTAAGAATGTTTTTTTAGTAGATTGTGTAATGATCAAATCACCAATCGCCGTAAAATCACAAACACTAATATTGACAATTAATACATATAACTTCGTGTATGCTTAATTTCTTCTATTAACATAATATTTATCTATTCTATTTTTTAGGTTCTTATTCGTGTTTAGCTATTTTTTGTATTGGCATACCAATAAAAGAAGATAAAAAGTGTAAAAGAGGACCTAAATTTCAATTCTAACGGAGTATAGCTCAATGAAGTTTTCTAAAGCCGACTCACTACACTCCAGAAGCACTGAAACCATTTTCATTGTATTCTAAATCGTTTTTACCTATTCAACCGTATTCCTACGTGTTT